CTGAAAGGCGAGAAGCTCGTGAAGAGGCTGAAAGGCGCGAAGCTCGCGAACGTGAAGAAAGGCGCGAAGCTCGCGAACGTGAAGAAAGGCGCGAAGCTCGCGAACGTGAAGAAAGGCGAGAAGCTCGCGAACGTGAAGAGGCTGAAAGGCGCGAACGTCGCGAGCGCGAGGAGGCCGAGAGACAGGAGCGCCTCGAGATGAAACGAATAGAATTGGCAATCCTACAGTGTTCGCAGGCGCCTAGCGCAGCTTCTCCGACGATTCAGGTCAGCGGTATTAGAATTCGGGATCAACTGCCACCGTTCGTAGTGGGCGAGGACATGGCGAAGTATCTCGTCAAGTTTGAACACGTCTGTGAGCGAAATGCTTTGGAGCAGTCTCTTTGGGCGCGGAACCTGCTAGCTCTTCTTCCCGGCGAAGTGTCCGACGCGATAACTTGCTTGTCGAGGGAAGCGTTGAGAGCTATGACGAGGTTAAGGAAGTGCTCTTGAGACGTTATAAGTTGTCACCCGAGGCTTTCAGGCAAAGGTTCCGGTATGCTAAAAAGGGGAATGAGTCACACGTTGACTTCGCGTTTCGTCTTAAAGCCGATTTGATTGAATGGCTCAAGGGCGAAGGTGTTTATGACGACCGCGATAAAGTGGTGGAATGCGTTGCATTGGAGCAATTCTACCGCTGCATCGAGGAGGATGTCAAACTTTGGCTGCAGGACAGACTTGGAGACGTACAGTTAAACAAGGCAGCTGAGTTAGCTGAGGAGTATTATACTCGCCGAAAGTTGCATAGCAGGGCAGCGCGCGTTGAAAAGGATGAAAAGAAAGAGGGCTTTTCAAGGAAACCTGATCAACGGAAACCCGTTCCGCACCGTAATTTCAAAAAGGACCCGTCTCTTACGAAGGACAGTGTAGGGGAAGGGCAAACAGAAGCGGAGAGATCGAGTGAGGTTTCTACCACACAGGCATTAGAACCGGAAAACAAACGGAAGCCGCTAATCTGCTACAACTGTAAAAAGGAAGGGCACACCGCGAGAAACTGTCAGGAAAAGTTTGCCTTCGCAACGATCCGAGAATCAGAAAAAAACATTCGGTTGTTGGAGCCGTATCTCCAAGAAATTAGGGTCAATGAGAAAACGTGCCGAGCACTTAGAGACTCAGCGGCAACCATGGACGTTGTCCATCCTTCATTGGTGTCTCCGGATGACTTCACAGGAGAATGCGCGTGGATCAGGCAAGTCGCCGAGGTGCAGAGTGTTCGCTTACCAATCGCCACGGTTGTCATTGAAGGCCCGTTCGGTAAGCTTCGCACCGAAGCAGCTGTGTCTGCCGCGCTAAATGATCGTTTTCCTTATCTTTTCTCCAACAACTCGGAGCAGCTTCTCAAAGAGCAGGGCAAATCGTTCTTCCCCAACTTAGCGTGCATGGCTCTCGCGCGGAAGCTATCGCGGCAGCTTGATCTGGTTCAATGCGGTGAACGCTCAGGTGACCTTGTCGGCGGGTCGACGGAACCTCAGAGAGGAAATTTTCCGCGTGAGTCATGTGAGCAGTCACGCGAGCGGCCCGTCGCGGAAGCGGCCGGCGCGGTATGCGCTGGGGGAGACGACGTGGCGCCATTGAGTCAGAGCGAGAGGGTTGCAACGCTCTCGCCTGTAGCGGAAAGTTGGAGCGAGCTGCCGAGAGTTGATCGAGAGACGCTCATTCGAGGGCAGCGTGAGGATCTCTCGATTGAAGCGCTAGTGGAAAGCCAAATTGAAGCGCGAGTGGAAAGCCAGAAAAACGCGGCAAAAGTGCTGTCGAAGGAGCACTACGAGAAATCGGGGAAGAAGCGCGCTTTTGAAGTTGATAATCAGGTAATGCGGCTGCAGCCACCCAAAAGGAACAAGCTTGAGGTTGATTGGGAAGGGCCCGCCACAGTATTATCGAAGCCTTGCGATACAACTTATAAGGTGCAAGTAGGAAGGCGGCAGAACAAAATATACAACTTGATGAAACCCAATGTTCAACATCAAGCGGTCGTAAATCAGCTGTTGAAGGCTTCAGAGGAAGAGGAAGCAGAAAATTTGAGTTCTAGTGAGGTGATCGAAGGGGGATCGAAAGTAATTTGGGAGCAGATAAACCTAGAGCCTAGCTTAAGTGAAGGAGGACCTGAGAAAGAGGACCTGAGAAAGATTGGTTCCGAGTTTGAAGACGTGTTTTCGGACCGCCCCGGAAACATGAGGGTGATCGAACACGATATCGAGCTAAGCGGTGAGGAGTCAATCAGTAGCAAGCCGTATCGTTGTTCCCCTGTGCAACGTCGCAAGTGTGAGCCGCTCTTGGTGCCGCATAGGTATCGTCGCCTAAAAGTGGCCGGTTACTGAGGTGGAGCATGTTGCTCCACAGCGCAACTTTGACGTTCGCTAAAGAAAAAAAAAAGGGAAAGGTAAACGCTAATGCAGGTGCATTGAGCAGTGCGTTCCAGCTAGTAACTTCTCAACCTTTCGGTTTCTGGCTGGCGATTCGGGGCAAAATTTTGACCTCATCACGACCTGGGCTGAGCGCTCTCGTTCAGAGTGATCTCAAGGGGCCAACTTTATGTGGTATTCTAATCCGTTACGTTGTTGTACGTGGGAAAAAAAATTGAGTTGTCATTTTTAGGGGTCTTTTGTCCCACATGTGCCTCTTGATGTAGAGGGAACAAAATTCCGATAAACACGTAGATAGGTATATGTTGTACTATACTTTGTCTGGTGTTCTGTCGGGTGACCGAGGGCACTTGCTTGTGTCGTGTGTTGTCTGTTGTCGAACCGTTCTTAGCAAGTTGCAGAACCATCGACAAGTGCTGAAACCGAAGATGGTCAGAAGAGACGAGTGAAGCTGGTCAGCAAGTTGTGGCGACAAGCCAGTGGGGCTGGGATCCGTCGTCAATGATGGGATGTGTTCCCGGAACAGTCTGGAGCGTATTCTCCCCATGGCCCTGGAGGCGAACCTGGAGGGACCTGGCGAACGAGCGCACCTGACATCCGAGCCCCGTGGAAGCAGCTCGTCTTTCCGGTGCATTGTCTGGCGGCGGGGGTGCTGTTATGCCAGCGAGTCCTCGTCAAACGTCCGTGCCTCTGAAACAGGCAATCTGGGTCAAGGCCAGCCCGCACTCCGCCGGGCGCGAACAACTCCACGGCGTGAACACGCGCGGCGCATCTGTGGCCCACGTGCATTGAGTCAGTTGCGCACGTGACAGCGAGCCGGCGTCCTCATGTCTGGTGGCCTGACGCATCGCGCGGCGAACCCCATTGGAGGAGCCTGCTCGGAAGACCAGCGGCGCTTCTGATTGGACATTTTAGTTGGGCCCGGTGTAAATAAAAGAAGCCCTGCGGCGCGTCGCGATCGGAGATCCTAGGAGAGGAGTCCCCGTGTCGGAGTGCCGACATGTGTGTGAGTCAGCGGTTTTAGGCGAAAGGCTGACCTATGTGTTAGAGAGAGGAGCTCGGCTCTTCGAGTCTCTGCCGGCCCCAGTGCCGAAATTGTAACGCCTCTGTATATATGCTGTACATAAACCTTGTTTAACTCACCGTCGTCTCGTCCGCTCGTCTCCTCAGCTCTGCGCAGAAGCAGTCGCGAGCTGAGAAACATACGCTACCAAACGGCTGGTGACCTTCCCGGCGGGGTCGAAAGCAGTGGCGCCTCCGGGACCGCGTCGGCGTCGCCGTCTTTCGCAACAGTGGTGGCTTCGGCGGGATCGGTCCGCCGTTTCTCAACAGTGGAGGTCAGCGGCGGGATTTCGGAGGTCGTTCGCAACAGTGACACCACATATTATTATTACGCATTGATTTTGTCACATTTAAAATTTTTTAAGCATTTTTAAACCTTGACTGTACCCAATGAGCAAAAAGCAGAAGTGTTGGGTCTTCAAGTTCATTGGTTATTTACTGCTGATCAGACCTTTTAAAGAAATTGTGAAATCCCAACTGCTTCTTTGCTAATGGGCCTTTAGCACAAACCTCTCTATACCAGTTAACAAACATCACAGTTTACTGTGTGTGAGCTTCATTTAAAACATTTGTTTACTAGCAAAGCCTTTTTCCTCGAAGGCCTAAGGTGCTTATGTGTCATTTTTAGACTGTTATGATTATATAAGCATGCAAATTTTTAAATAGTAGTGGGAAAGCGGCAGATATATTCCGTCATGGAACCGCAACATGTATGAATTAAGCAAATGATGAGTTTGAATGAAGAGGCTTCCTAATACATTAAAAGTATATAGGGCCAATCAAAAAAATTGAGTTTTGTTTGAATTCACCGAAAGTTTGAATCATTGCGAGTCAACTGTAGCTTGAAGTCAGCAAAAACGAGGTCTGGGCGTGTTCCTCTGGTGGTTGTTTCCAGTCATATGAAATGCATCATAGAGCATATTGCGACGTCAGCGACTGCACAGTCCAGCCGTGTTCCGCGATCATCATCGTCACCGGCTTGCGTGTGATGGCAGAAAGAGAATGTGTAGACTGGATCACACTTGTTCTTCATCGGTGGTGGCTATGATGCATTATGCCAATGCCTATCGACAAGCCTCGACCTTGAGGAGCTTCACCCTAAAAAATTTATGGGAGGGTAGGGCACTTGCTCAAGATTTTACAGCTCCCCATATTCAATCCCTCTTGTATGATGCTGCTAAAGTTAGGGCTGCAAGATACGTGTGTTCTCAGTGACAAGTGCATCATTCAACTCGTTCTCAGTGTCCATCTTTATTAGGCAGGGTTCATACCATGATTATTATTAGCATAATCAAGTCTGCACAATGCTCATGTATGTGGTCACCCAGAGGTGAACAGCTTGTGTATTGATGTTATGAGGGCCTTCAGAAAGCATTGCATGAGTTGTGCCTTACTATAGGCCCATTTAAAGCAGGCTAGTTTGTTGCTACAACTCTCAATTACTTTCGCAGTGCACATACGCAAGATAAGACAGCACTGAGCATCAGCCGAGTGTATACACACATAAGTTTGAAGGGCATCACCACAATCAATGCAGGATGCAGCCAATGCCTTGGCCATGCGCGTCCTGCTGGCAGTGAAGGCAAGTGAAATGGAGCAGGCAGTCCGTGCTTTGGACCCCGAGGCAGTGGATGTGTTGATGAAGTACATTTACCGTGGCTTTGAAAGCCCCTCGGAGGGTAGCTCGGGCCATCTGCTAGCTTGGCACGAAAAGGTAAGACTTTTGTGCACTACCACTATGTTATGCGAAGTTGTTTCGCTCTTATGAGAGGCACCATGTGAGGTCTTTTGGCAAAACTCTGCCTTCCTGGTTGTACACTCTGGCCAATGTGGGCACGGAGCTACCTTTCAACATTACTCAATTTTGTCCCTCAGTGTGAATTGAAACATAGTATGCTAAAAGAATGCAAACACATGTGTAAAGAGACCATCTGCCGTTTCATGTGACATTAGAGTTGTGAAGAAAAGGAGCATGCATTTTGCTCTTGTCTATTCTACTTTTCCCTACAAAACTTAATGCTCACATTCGGCCATGTGGTTGCGACTTGTGAATGTATAGTTTTGCCATGTGATCACTGCAAATTCTATCAAGACAATAAGGTGGACTGACGGGGTGTGTCCCAGATTGTGATAACTGCATGAAGCCTTATTCACACATTTCGCTCTCATATTAACGCGGCGCTGTTGATCGCTCGACGTTAGGAGCTGGGCTATGTTGCTGAGCTCTGACTGTTGCCTAGCAACCACCTGGATTGTCAGTACCTGAAAACACGTTGGAGCAAGGAAAAGGAGCTATCACTATAAATCTAGCAAAATCTGTTCTCAAGCCATCATGTATGCACAAACCATTTGCATGGAAAGAACTCTTGTATGTCTGTGTGAACGGAGCTGCCACAAAAGTGCACATCGATGGTTCGTCTGAAAGCGGACAAACTGCTCTTAAAGGGACTGTCTACTACTCAGAAAAATGTCTCTCATTGTGGCGCAAATGAAAAGATTGTTCATCACACTGGTGGCAACAAGTATGCTTTTGCCCATAGAAAAGGAATTTTAATTTTAACTTAATATTGAAAGTCTACAAGCAATGACCGCTAGCGTCACCCAACAGCCAATCTACGTCAATCTATGTCAATCTACGGACAAGACACGAAATCCCGGCAGGTTGACTCTTTTGCTTAAAAACACATGTAAAACTTGAAATTTTATTTTACACACTCGAGGCTGCTTTAGGTAGCATTGGAGACTAATTTTCGCTTTTTTTTTTCTCACGCATTCTAAGAAGCACCCGGTGGTGTTGCCGGCGGTATGTTCGCTTGTCTGCATGCTTGCCTGCAAATGGTGGAGAAACACAAGGACGGCGTCCACTGCCGCTCATAAGAACAACAAAAAAGTGTGTGAGTGCCTTAAACGAGCATTAAAGTATTTTATTAATAAATAAACTTTGATGAAGCCTCTAAAAACAACGTTTGTAATTACTTTTTCAGTTTCCGTATTCATTCTTTCGAGGCGGGTACGATTTGCTCTTAGGGAGTGCGGGGGCACCGCAGTCTAACTTTGAACCAAGTTACCGGCTGATCTCCGCTGGCTTCACTGCCGCTGCAGTTTCATGTACTTTGTGCCGGTGTTCGGTCGCGCTTTTTTTTTCTTTCTGTGTGCCTTTCTCATTGCTTTCTGTACACAAGGCATTTTTCACAGTCTTCTGAAGACGATTCGACGGCTACAGTCACTCAGACATCTACGACGTAGGAAACTCCGATTGTTGACATTGCGGGCATGATCTAAGCATTAGCCATGTGTGTATGCACCGAGCACGTGTGTACGTCTCCCAAAGTTAATTCTACTGGTGCTGCTATCCCCTGCATCATAGCTCAGACCTTTCGGACATCATAACTATGTGTTGTGGGAATTGAGGCTTGCTCGCTGCCTTTGCGCGGAATGTGCCGCCTTTTCTGCCGTTCTCATGTCCCGACATGACTCCCCTCCTCCGCTGTCTGCCACGCTGGGAGAGCAGAGTGACATTTAACCCCTCTCACCCGGTAGCGGATGTCGACTGTGGCGGCGCGTGCAGGGTCTCCAGAGAGGTTTTGCGCGCGTGCGTCGGGAGCGGGTCAGATACTCTCCGGGACAGCTGACGGTGAGCCACGCAATCTTTTCCGTCCGTTGACTCTCGTCTCTTGGGGCTCGTCAGACTTCGCTGGCGGCGCCTCGCGCCCAAGGCGAACGCTCACCTTTTGTTGCCCATCTGCGTACGCTCGGCCGAAGGGTGGTATGGTGTCCTAGTGCGTGGCCAAGCTACGCCGACCCGTCTGAAGCCAACGCGAGCGCCTTTGCCCTCGCTCGAGCAACCGGGCCTTGGTCCCGGTGTCTCCGTGGCACCCTGTGTAGTACTTTTACACCCGTGGCACGGATAAGCCCATTTGCTTTCCCACCGTGCCTTTGCAACAGGCTGTACTGTGTTTGGTGTTGCCACAGACAATAAAGTGTTGCGACCTCGAGCATTGTCGTGTTCTCACCACGGCGACGGTTAACGCGTGCCCTGCGGCTCGCTAAGGCCGAACCCACGCTAGTGGCCGTACTCCTTCGAGATACATGTCACTACAGTGTTTTGTGCCTGGGCACACCAGCGGGTGCGGGAAAAACCTTGAGCAACGCCGCTTTTCTCCGCCGTCCGACCCGCTGTTACTGCAGAAGTGGGAAATATTCATGGGAAAGTTTGGGAAAGACGCACAAGGTGGACGATGTTCACTTTCAAGACTGTGACATTTTGAAAATATATAAGCATATTATTACGGAGATGAAGAAAAGGAAGAGAAAGGACAGAATCAGCTGACAGGCGCGCGAGTGTGCCAATCGGCCATTGTGACTCTTGCCTGTGGTTTTTCCTCTGTAAATGCATATTGTACAGAAGTCACCGACCCTGTAACATATTGAAGGTGCCGGGGACCATGTGTTGCAGCAGTAACGAGCAATATGTCCAACACGGGGGCAGTTGAAACATATAGGGCGGTCATCTGCAGTTTACCACTCAGCCGGGTTGCCAGTATGTGGAGAAAACCGTCGGTCGGAGGAGGGCATCGCGAAAGGGAGTTCGCTGACTCTGGGGGCGGTGACATGGCACACGGAATGCACTCCGATGTTTTCAAGCTCCTGGAGCACGATGGCTTGAACAAGAAGAACAGTAACAGGAGTGGTATCGGTACTGCGTGAGTAGAACGCCGAGGGCGCCATTGCTTCCAGTTCGCGACGAACAATGCGTGTCAGGTCTCCCGGCGGCGACGGACGTTGTGGTGCGGACTGGTCCTCACAAGTCAATGTTGCAGCAGTGTTAGGAAGTCAGGCGAATGTTTGCAGAATGCGGCGATTTTCACTTGCTCATGCTGACGACACTCTTTTATGATCGCGTCTACGAAAGAACAGTCCTTGCACATCAGGAGATTGAGCGCGTCGTCGGCAATCTCTTTCAGGACATGCCCGACTTTGTCACCTTCTGTCATGTCGCTTTCGGCAGAGGGCCAGCACGTCTTCAATGTATGCAAGGTATGATTCTGTGGGGGATTCGGCACGGCAGGCCAATTCCTTTTTGGCGGTGATCTTACGACTGGGGGTTTTGGCAAACACCTCTCTCATCTTTTCTTTGCATTGGTCCCAGCTTGTGAGTTCTTCGTTGTTTTCATACCACACCTTCGCAGTGCCTCTCAAGTAAAACAGCACATTAGCCAACTAAAGTGTGGGATCCCATCTGTTCGGCACACTCACTTGTTCGAACATGGCCATCCAACCGTCAACGTCGACGCCATCGGTCCCGCAGAATGCACCGGGATCCTTAAGGGGCGTGAAAACGTATGGCTGCGACACCATGTTCGTCGGAAACGCTGACGTTGGCGCGGAGGGCTCAGCATTGGCCATGGCTGGAAAACTGATGCGGATCTCCGTTGCCTGATGGTTACCCAGCACCTCTCACCAATACACATTGGCACACTCGCACGCCTGTCAGCTGATTCTGTCCTTTCTCTCCCTTTTCTTCATCTCCGTAATAATATCACAAATGGAAAAGTCGAAATCAATCATGATGCATAGCATTGACTGAGGCAGTAATGCAGTACGTTCCTTGTTTATTTGCAAATCTCCCAGTGTACTTGTCATGAAGCTGCAAAAGAAAGCGTACCTGTACCACAACCAACTGCTGCTGCCTTGTGATCTGCCAGAAGAATCCTGGCAACATGCACCCACTCCTTCGGAGGACGGTTTTTCTGGGTGATTAAAAAATGTGCTGCACTTCAACTTCCCTGCAACTAGAGTTTGGTGGCCCCTGAGGATGTGGTAAAACCTCCGGTCTTCTATAATGCAGAATTCAAAGAATCTACCACATCTTTGAGCGGTCATTTGCGGGAATTCGACCTACATGGTTTCAATGCATAGAAAATTGCTAAAAAAAAGTTACTTTTTGATGTACCAGTTGGGTCACTTCAGGATGTATAGGCAGTTGTGTATGTTGTGCTCTTTGCAGCCTTGCCTCGTCTGTTAGCACAGCAAAAGGTAAACGTGTGCGCTAAGAAATATTCATCACAAGGACTGTGTGGGCATCACTGGTACTGACAGAGGTATGCGTGTCTTGTGTCACTTTAGCAAGAACACTAAAAAAATAAGGGCAAGAACAACGAAGAACAAGGTGCAGATTGCAACCAGTGAATTAAGGAAACACTTGATCTGTGCCTCTGCCGCTCGAGAACGGAGGAAACTTGAGATACGCCGACTGCTGCGTCCCCAGCGACTCTCAATGATGTAGTCGAAGATTTGCCTGAAGTGCAGAAAGTGTCCATTATTAGTGCATCCATCGCTCAAGAAGAAGCACAATCAATGAATCTTTACACAACAGATTGGCTCATGCTTTGTTTGTTGCTCACAAGCCCGAAATGTTACAGGGGGCTATTGCATACCTGCCAACTCTTCCAATTTTTCTGTAAAATGCTTGAATTTCGACTGCATTTATGATTTTAGGAATTTTGCCTGAAATTTACGGAAAATATTTCATTTCCAATAAAAAAATTACAATTAGTAAAATAGCGTGGCCTCCGCGATTAGCCACGGCACATTGCTGTTGCTTGTCGCAGAGGTCAGAAAAACAGCGTTGTGCCATATTGCGCCTCCAGGAGAGAACAATATGTATTGGTGTTATCATCATCACATACTTACCAAGTCTGTGATGATCAAGAT